GAGGCGGCACCTCTCAAAGTCAGCCTTGATACAGAACCAATGTGAACTCGTGCCTTTCAAATAATATACGTACTTAGTGTTCTTTTTCCAGGATTTGGTTTTAAATGCTTCCGGCCCCTCGCTGTATGTACCATCCACAATCTTTTCAAGGGATCCAGACAAAACAGGCCATTCTGGGTCATGCGCATAAGAGTTCACATAATTGTTGAATTCAAAAGGCGCAATGCATGAGTCTCCATCGTCATTGCATAAACGTCTTCTCAGGACGTAAAGGTACTCACTCAGATGCTAGTTAACAAACAAAAGTAATATGTTATTAGAAAACGAAAGATATAAGCATTGTTTGTGTACGAAGAATGAAAGGTTAATGCAACTTACAGTATCCGCTACCCAAAAACCTGGAGTGATAAGGTCAGACCAGAACGTTTTCACAAAATCCTGAATCTCCTTGTACTGGGCGAGGTAGCATTGTACAGGGCGGTCATCTTTAATTGCTTTTACGATGAAGCTCTTAAATTCCAAAAGATCTGCTTTAGTTGGCGGCTTACATAAGAGCTCATCGGCTTTCTTTTTCTTCCTCCCGTTCGCTGTATAAGGAGACTTCAAACTGGATGACTTCTTTTTCACTCTCTAAAATAAAAAAATAAGTGAATTATTTCGGAATCTTAGACCACAATACGAAAGCACTTGAAGTAAGAAACCAAACCTTTCCATACACAATGCCATCAGTAATTTCAGCCTCTTCTCCCAATTCCTTCGGGGGAGAAACAACTTACAGTTAAATAGAGTGTAAATAAACATGCTCTAAATACTTCGAAGAACTTGACTGCATTTCGAATGCAATGACTCCAGAATTTACCTTGTCCTGCAGAGTTTTCATAGAAGCAGCAGCGTCTGTTTCCATGACCTCATGGCTAGGCTCAACCTACAGAAAATTCGAATACATTTGAAAACTTCGACTATATTTCGAAGGCACTTGTAGGAAGATTTTTAATTTTACCATTTCTTGCAGAGGCTTCATTGAAGCAGCATCTTCTATTCCCATTGTCTCGTGGGTAGACTCAGCCTGCAGAGGTTTCATAGAAGCAGCAGCAGCGTCTGTTTCCATTACCTCATGGCAAGACTCAACCTGCAAAAAATTCGAATACATTTGAACACTATGACTATATTTCGAAGGCACTTGTAGTAAGATTTATTATTTTACCATTTCCTGCAGAGGCTTCATTGAGG